CCTCATAATGGTCGATGATCCAACAAAGACGTAGTAGGCCTCATAGTGGTCGACGACCCGACATGATTATAGACCACTTATTGAGTAGCCTTCACCTTGTTGGTCATCGTATACAATTATTAGTGTCATCCAATATCATTAGCCACTCTACCTTTGTTGATATTTATCGATAAGGGGTAACATCTTCTTCCTTCCACACATTTTTTGTCTACTCATCTCTCATTGATGGCATAATATACTTGGGTCGAACAGTCCAAATGGTGTAAGATGGTGACAACATTGCACACATGACACCCTATGAATGGGTTTGATTTTTTGGGAGAAATTTTCCCTAAAAAAATCCAAAGCTTTGCTTAGATAAGAGATGAGGTCTCCATTCCCATTCATTCCTCCTTCCACCAATCCTCTTGCTCATTCAGTAGTCAAGATAACACTCTTCTCTATCTCCCTTTAATCTAGGTTTTTAATCTTGCTTTTTCTTTCTATTATGTATCAAACTGAAAGAGTAAGAATGAGAGAATGAATGTGTTGATTGATCAATTCAATGATGCCCGTTTGGGTCCTGGGCAAAATCAGCCAGTAAGGTCGGTCAATGCCTATCGACCAGCTACGGTTGACCAGCCATGCTAGTCGATCGTCGACCCGCTAAGAGGTTGGTCGGCTTGACTAACCCCTCAACTGGTCCACTGGCTGGTTATCCCGCAGGCAACCCAGTTGAGCACCCTTTTGGAAGGTCTATTGTTCACCTCATGATTCTGAAAGCTCGATCCATACGATCGAAACTCAAATATTCCAACCAAGTTCTCCTAAAAGATACCTTGGGTCAATCGAGTTCTAGGATTAAAACTTATAAATTGGTTGATGTCCTATGGATAAGGTTGTTGCTCTTGATATCCCAAAATGTTATAACCTCTACAATTTCCCACTTAAGTTGGAAAAATCCCTTAGTAGATTTGGTCGTGCTGATGATTACATTTCTAGAGCTCCCAGGCCTAAAGAAAGACTCCCCGAGTCTAATCCTCGCGAGATTGTCATGTGTAAAGACATCATAGATGGTAGTTTTCGTTTCCACATTCATCCCTTCTTCGTCACAATTTTCAATGATTTCACCTCACCCCCAATCTGATAAATAGCGTGGAGGAAAGCATTGTATTTCTTGTATATCTACCTTAGCAAGAAATTTCCACTTTATGTAGAACTTTTCAGGTGTGTCTTTGAAATGCATGAGCTAACTTAGTATAACGAATTCGTCTACTTCACTACTTGGGTCCCATTGCGCTTTCCAAAATTTAGGAATTCCAACAACGGGTGAAAGTCCTAGTTCTTCTTTGTTTGACCTCTGGTAGGTTAATTCCCCTTCAATACGAATTGGAGACACCCTCAAATTTGTCTTTTCTATAGTCAAGTAGAAATCACTTCCCTTATAAGTGCTCAAATCCAATAAGTGATTGATATGCTACCTCTTACACTCGACTTAGGGCCAGTTTTGACTATGTGAAACATGTTGATAATGGGGATTAGTCGTCCTACAGTAGGTTCTTTTTCCTCGTCTATATTCTTGTTTCCTATATGTTTTTACATGCTATTTTTAGGCGTGGCGAATTTTGTTGCGTGTATGCAAACATGGACTTTGACTTGGACGAGGTGTTGAAGACCTTGCCCATGTCAGGAAGTGATGATGGTTTCGTTCCTGCTGATGGTAGGTTCTTGTATACATCGCTTTTGATTTCATATTTCTACGTACCTTCACTCGTTGTTCTTTGAGCCGGATGGATTTTACCTTGTATGCATGTATGAAATTCGACCCGGAAGAAACCATGGACTCTATGCTGAAACAGAGGCATGAGAGTGACATAGACCTAACTCCTGCACCATCAAAGAGAAGGAAAATTGATGATTGAGAGGTAGAGTTCCATGCTACAGAGGAGATTCCTCGACCTTCTGACGATCCTAACGAAGCTGCCCCACCGTTTGTGCCCAGAAGGACAGCTCAAGCCACATTAGGTGTGAGCGCAATGACTCTCTTCTTAACTTTGGATTCCCTTCTACTCAGGGTTATCATGAGATGGTGATTCTTCGGTCTTTGGTGACGTGCTAGGGTCAGAAAGTACTTGTGTTGGTCGAATCTGATAGTACTGTAAGTTTATTTGTTTATAGTAGATTCATACTGGCTTGAGCCTGATCTTTTTAATCCTGTGAGGAATTTTCTTCGTCAACAAATACCCTGTGTTATTTATTTTCTAGCAATTTATTATACTAGGACAATTTAACAAGGATAGATTGCATGTGAATTTATTTAGACTAATTAATAATTGTGACTTGTTGCAATTATTAATTAGTTTATTTAAATTTCGCATAACCACCTATTTACTCTACTCTAGGCGTCAGTTGGGTTGAACTGCATAGTTTTAAGAGCACTTCTTTGATCACAATCAAATCATTCTGTCAATAGAGTGAAAGTTCTTTAGACCCTTGTAAAAGTACTTTTTGACTTCCAAAAAACCTCAACAGAATACACTTAGGACTTGTTTGAGGCCCATTTTTTAATGAGAAAACTAGATCATGTAATGGTGATTTTTGGATAATAGTAATTTTTTGAGAATTCATGATAAAAAAATAGAAAAAATTTGGATGTATGTGTAAAATTATTTTATTAAGAGAATGTGTAGTTGAACACAGGTTTAAAAAAAACATGAATATTTGTAGAATGGGGCTCAAACTGGAGTTCAATCATTTATGGATTAGATATATATGTCACATAAACTACAATACATAAAATGTATTGAAGGTTACCACATTTAAGGTAAGATGAAGAAAATAGTGCCGTGCATTGGCAGCCTGTGGTGGTGGGTGCAACATTTTTAAAAGGTAAGATAAAAACATTTAGTGTAATACAAATTTAAATTTATTTTAATGGACCAGTAAAAAGATTATTAATATTGTATCATTTGTATGTTAACCTTTTTTGTTCTTTTATTACTTCTTAAATAGAATTACTGTAACATTTTTTTTGATATAATTAAGAATAACAAATTCCTTGTTGCTTACACAAAAAAAATCATTTTGATTATATCATATGTTTCTCAAAGTTATTTCTACACCCAGAGTGTAAACTTCATGTTGCACGTCCCCCTTCATGTTTAAGTTTGTCCTCTCATGCATGCCTAATACTTGTCTATCACTTTGTCTTCTTGCCTATTAGGTTGTGGCTTTGCAGATCAAGCTTGTTGAGTCCAGTCCACGCCACGCATCGGAGTTGATGCCCCTCATTGAGGACAAGAAGAAGGAAGCTCATTACCACAAGAAGAAAGTTTCTTTTTTGAAGAAGTCTCTTGAGACTTTGGAGGCTCAAGCCCACGAGCAAGAAACTGAGATTGATAGCCTACGATTCGTTTTGACCCGAGCACCAGAGGAGGCTGTGGAGTAATATAAGGCCTCTGCTGAGTACACTAAGGACTTGGAGGTGTCCGTGGAACAGTACAAGTCATCATCAGATTATGCCAAGGCCTTGCATTCATACAGGAGAAGGCGATGGCGGTATCTATCAATTAGCTATGGAGTGGATTTTCGATGAGCGTCCTTCTATCGATCCATCAAATTTCGACAGGTTTCTGGCACAATGTAAAGATAAAGAGAGTAGAGCCCATCTGTCCAAGGCTTTCGAGTGCACATCATGAGATGGGAGAGAAGGGACCTCTCGCTCAAATTGAAGCATTCTTTCATTGTGGATCTTCTAGCACTTCATGTTGCTATTTATTTTTGTCATTTGATTATCTTTTGCTTTCTTCCGGTCTAGGATGTGAGCAAAAAAATCACACTTCATTTTGTGTATGAACGTTTCCTTATTGAACATTATTGTTGCTTAGTTCTTTCTATCCATCTTGATATATAGGGGCCACTTGCTACTGCGTAAAAGTTAGTTCGCCTACTCTCGCAAAACTTTCTTTATTTGATTACATGGTAGCTAGTGGACGTTGTAATGTCGAATTGCAAAGCCCATCGGGCCGTGTTGAGTTATAGAGCTCCAGGTTTAGTGGTTTAGGGTTCTAACCAATTTTTGGTTCCGTAAGCTCTCTTCTACGAGGGCCAAATTGGGCCGATATTCAATAAAAAAATTATTTAATACCGGACCAACAATCAAAATTCTGGTTTTCATCACTCCCAAACAGGAGCTAAGAGAATATCACGCGGGTTAGGCCATGCAGAAATGTAAGGCCCATTATAACCCACTTGAAAAGGTAACCCAGCCCAATCCAAGCCCTCAAGGTGCCATGGACAGTCCAGCCCACTTGAAAAGCCCAATCCAAGCCTTCAAGGTGCCGGTGCCACGTACAGTCCAGCCCAAGCTTATGCACTTAACTCACAACAAGCAAAGCTCTAAGAGTGTGTTTAATTGACATGAAAAATATCACTTAGAAAAGAAAATATTTTCCATCTTTTGTGGAAAATAAAAACCACATCTACCTAAAGAAAATGTTTTCCTTAAAAACAAAGAAAATTAGGCATATTTTCAAAAATTGGAAAATGTTTTCTATGGAAGAAATAACAATCAAACACTCTAAGTACGAATTTTGGTGAAAAACTAATATTTTCCATGGAAAATAAATGTAATCAAATACACCCTAAAAGATATAAGGCTACCAACTTTATGAGTCTAAACATAATACAATGCTTGCTTATATTTAATATTGTTTCATTTATTCTCAATGGGTTATTCAATTATTTTATTAAACTTTAAAAACACTGATCCAAGTCATAGTCTTCATTTATCCGTCTAGACTCCGTTTTTCATATCTTTTAGAACACTGCTTTCAAGACTCGTCTAATATAGAATTTCCTCAAAAAACTGTATTTAAGTGATGATCCCAATTTTATTTAATATGTAATTTTATATGTAACTTGTGTAAATATAATCGGGTAAGGAATATATACAAGCTGTGAAGCCACTTCCATAGATGCACTTGACAATGGTGACAATTCTTTTCTTGTTCCCCCCATGAAAGGAATCCAACTCTCCAGAGCAAACGTGAAGCAAAAGCATAGTAAAAAAACAACTTTCAAGACCGAAAAAATCCCTTTTTTTCCAGTTAATACAGCTAATCTTCTCATATAAAACATCCATCCACTTTATTCCTATTCCATGCAGAGGGCGATCTATGTTTATATAAGACATTTCACGTTTCTCCAATGGAAAACCTACGTCTGAAAAAAAATGGCAAAATATATCGGCTTCCTCGTGTGCCTTTTGATCATGATTATGGACATTATAGCAGGAATTCTTGGTATTCAAGCAGAAATTGCTCAGAACAAGGTATTTTTCGTTCAAGAAAAGCTTGTAGAAACACTTTTTGCTCTTTTATTGCGTAATAATAGTTCTCATTTACAGGTTAACCATCTGAGGGCTTGGATTTTTGAATGTAGGGACCCTAGCTACCAAGCTTTCAAGCTTGGTATGGCTGCAGTGGTACTCTTAATAATGGCACATGTTATAGCCAATTTGCTTGGAGGGTGCATTTTCATTAGATCCAGGGAAGAACTAGATCAAGCTTCACCTAACAAGCAACTGGCAGCTGCATCCCTCATCTTGTCATGGTACCTTATTCTGGATTATGTCAAGCATTATGATTATTCTCTTATAGAACAATTTCTTATCATTCAGACATCTATTGATATAACTTATGGTAATGGACCAGGATTATGCTGGGTGTTGCATTTATACTGCTGATTTCTGGAACATTGTCAAACTCAAAATCAAGAAGAGATTGCGGAATAGCACATCATTGGCTACTGTCTATAGGAGGAATTTTGTGTTTTATTCATGGACTCTTTTCAGTTGCCTATTATGTTTCTGCTACTGCCTTCATCCGAGAAGAAAAGAAACTGAGTCAACACGGAAGCCATGAAAACCAACCAAATCAAGATGGAGCCGAGGCCTGATTTTTCCACTACAAGATCATCCGGAATTATGTTTCTTGTTTTCTTTTTTACTGAATTTCATTGAATTTTAATTTCTCATGTTACTGGGTGACCAATGTGTTTTTCCCGTCCCTCAGAAGTCTTTCCGAATGAATTTCTCACTGTTGGAAAGTTGGAACTATACTGATAATCTTGTGAGGAATATTTAACCTTAAATTTTCTAATTCTGAAGAATTTAATATAAGGATCTCATTCCTTTCTTGTTGCAACTCCTCAGAAGGTCACTTAAGATGAAGTGAGGTTTCTTCAATTATAAATATGTGCTATATTAACCAACCTAGAGCACTGCAAACATCAATCAGAAAACGAAGGTGAACTTTCCGTCCTTTTCATAGAAAGGCAAAGTAGAGGGTGGAAAAGCAGGGGGAAAACATGGAAAAACTAACATATTCAACCAAGACACAGAAAAATGGAGGATAGTCAATAAGCAATCAACAAAACAGAGAAACATATCAAAGATCAGTACCCCAGACATGTTTAAGCAGGTAACAGAAGAACAATTATATGTAATGTGCCAACAGTCCTCAAGAGGAAAAATAAAAAAGGGGAAGTAAAGAGGGTGTGCCTATTTCATTGAACTCCAAGCATAATAGAACATCAAAATATTAGTTCATGAAATCATTAAATAGAAAAATAATTCGTTACTCTGACTTCCTCCATTTCAACTAGCAGTATATTTATATCTATTCCTAACATGATTACGATAATAGCCCAGAGATGGAAACTCCTTGACAATTAGATGAAATTGGAAGTCCATTAATCAACTGTTCGGCAAAGTTTTTTGAGATTATAAGGTGGTGGTCCCATGAAATAAAAATTGTGGGTCCAATGAAGTGTGTGATTAAAAATGAAATTCGACCAGATTAAAATCTGTAAAAAGCTTTACCAAGCAAGAGCTAAGACGTTGATATTATCATTAACTGACCTTCAGTGCATCATGTACATCATGAGACCCTCCCTGGAAATACTTACATTTAACTAACTCAAATCAAGATTAAATTATAGCTTCAGCTGCTGGCACTAGAGGAGGCCTATCAAAAATTGTCTTCCACTTTCCCATTGTATTTTTACCAGTCTCAAAACTTATAGCTCACTTTTAGCAATTATCAATGAATCTCCAAAAATGTCATGTCGAGAACAAGAAGAAGATTTCGGTACACCAGGAATGGTTTGTACACTCCCGATAAATAGTATTATAACCTCTAGTCAATGAACATAGATATCAAAACAGTTCCACAAGAATCAAGCGAGACCCCATATGATGATAAAAAATGCAGCTAATATCAGATAAGTAGGAATACCAAAAGATATCAACAACTATAAAGCATATATAGGCTATTGATAAAGATCAATATTGAAGAAGTTAATAATACAGAGCAAGCTGCAGAATTCACCAATTTAGAATATACACTATAAACAAGGAAGATAAGCTAGGAATTTATATGTAACTACACTTAAAGCAGAAACAGATATCTGATAAGTTGTCCAGCCAGCAAACCATTGAAAAGAACTTACCCCCTGCACCTGTCAACAACATCAGTGATCAGTTGCCCTCATAACATTCAAAACCAGCTTGGTCTGAGCTTGCATCACTTCATAGATCTTCTCTTCAAGCTCAATCTCTTCCACTCGCAGCTTCCTCCACTCTTTATGCCCCTCAATTTTATTTTCTCCTTCAAAAAATTCTGCCCCAGCCCTCAAAATCCACTCCCTCGTGCTCAAACCATTGTTACTCCCTCCACCGAAACTACTGATCATCATCTTTACATCAGCACTCGCAACATCCAAACTCTTCACTTCCTTGAAATTGCTATTTTCAACGTTAGTAACCCCCTTATTAGGGATCTTCCTCGTAGCAGTATCGTTTGCTTTAGGACTCCCCACTGCTTTCTCTCCCTCACTTCCATTGTCGTTCTCACTGCCCCATATCTTTTTTGACAAATCAAAAGCTTTTCGCTCGTGGGCCTTTAAGAAGGTTCTCTCTTTGCCCTCCTTCTCTTTACTCTTATTGTTCTCATACTTCTTTTTCAGCCTCCTAATTTTATCCTGCAACTGAGTCCTGGTCGCATCCACATGCAGGTTCTCCCTAATAAAATCATGAAAATCATTCAAATCAGCAACTGGGTCGGATTTTTTTTCGGAGGCATAATCAATCATGCCTTTGAGAACCACAATTTCATCATCCTCGCTCCACAACCTTTGGAACAACTGTTTCTTCGAATCATCGTTACTAGTACTCGCCGGTTTACCCGAAGTCTCAACGTCAGGAGGAGGTTTCTTCTTTGACCTCTTGTTTTCCTTAGCATCGGCCTCTTTCTCCTCCTCTGCGGGGCGTTTAGCACCAGTAGGCTTCACCTGTGTGCTGGGCTGCGAAGCATTAGGCTTGGATCTAGGTTTCTTAGCAGCAGCAGCAGCGCTAGTAAAGGGCTTTCGTGGCCCGTCTGTTGGCTTGGAGAGCAGGGGCCTCACATTCGAGTTGACTGGATCGGTGTCGGACACTGGTTCGGATCCGGACTCTTCGTCTTCCTCCTCGGACGAAGATGAAGGATCCAGAGGTTTCAACACCAGCTGCGGTTGGGATTTCTTAGGGCCTGGCACTGTCGGAGGATTTTTTGTACTCGGCGTCAGCGTTGGTTCGGAATCAGAACTGGAAGACCCTGCTTCATCTGATGAAACTTCGTCATCATCCTCATCAGATTCTGATTCCGATTCCGACACGAGGGGTTTTTCAGGTTCACGATTTTTTGCCATTCTCCAAAAATGGGGATCTAGAGTCTGGAACAGAGCTCAATTGTGAGGAGAAAACGGTGAAGTGGAATCTTGATTGACTTTAATCAATAAAAACCAAGCTTAGCGTTATAAACGTAAATAACTTGAAAAAACAGGGGTTTCAATCCAAATATTTCAAAGCCCACCAATTTATTAAAACTTGAGGTTTCATCTTAAAATGTCAACCTTGTTACGATGAGTAATCAAAGATCTTGTAAGTTGGTTTATATCATCTTTAATTGATATAAGATTTTATTTTTTAACATGCCCCTCCCCCAAGATGATAACTCGTTTGAACAAATCAATTTTGAAATTCGTATGTTCATTTTTTGAGTCTTAATTAGATCGAGTCACTCATTAAAGCGTAATGGGCTCTGATACAATATTAAGATTTAGCATTGCATCTTAAAAGATCAACATTGTTAACAGGAGTAATCCACTTTATAATTTGGTCTATGTTTCCATCTTTAAACGATATGGGGTTTTATTCCTTAACACAATTTCTAGTGTGATCACAGTTACAAATCGAACTTCAAAATACCTCACATTGAAACATCATATCATTATACTCCCTCACCCATCCAATTTTGGACGTTGCCACGAGTTGCTCTTCAATCTTCAAAATACTTTTCATTGGTAACTTAACTTTAGCAGTGAACCACTATGTCACTCATGAGTTAAATGTTTTAACATTCACTCAACTTTGGGTGTGATCACGGATTACTCACCGAACATTAAAATGCTTTCCATTGATCTCTCAAATTTAGGGCTTTATATTTCAACACTCATCAAACTTTAGGTGTGCTCACAGTTACTCATCGAACTTCAGAATGCATATTTTATTTTATAGCTCAATTTCATCCTACAAATCAAATATTAAAATTAAGACAAATTAGTCTAGTCACATTTTTATGTTACGTAATTCGATTTATTATTATTTATTCCAAATCATATAACTTTACGTACGCTGAGATAGTTATGAAATAGAACCTTCGTTCTCCCTGACGGCACTTGAGAGATTCTTCTACTACTCTGTTGAACAAATATTACCTGCAAAATGTGGTCGGGGATTCCTCCCCTGTTGTACCTCCGGATTGAGAAGTAGTATGAGATTTTAGAACATAGATTTAAGAAGAAAAGATATAATGAATATTCAGATAGAAAAATTTCAAGATCCATACCTATTTTGCCTTAGGTGTATTTATAGGTGACAAGATACCACGTGTCTCACAAAGCCCCTTCCACTACCCGTACATTCTGAGTGGAGGACATCTATCTATCCAGCGGTTGGTTGTGTTTGTGATAACCGTTAAGTGATCTCCATCTAACCCAATGATGATTTCGTGGTTAAGTGTTGTGCCCACCGCGTAGGGGTAGATAGCCTCATAGTGGTCGACGAACCGACAAAGACGTAGTGGGCCTCATAGTGGTCGACGACCAGGTATGGACGTAGAAGGCCTCATAATGGTCGATGATCCAACAAAGACGTAGTAGGCCTCATAGTGGTCGACGACCCGACATGATTATAGACCACTTATTGAGTAGCCTTCACCTTGTTGGTCATCGTATACAATTATTAGTGTCATCCAATATCATTAGCCACTCTACCCTTGTTGATATTTATCGATAAGGGGTAACATCTTCTTCCTTCCACACATTTTTTGTCTACTCATCTCTCATTGATGGCATAATATACTTGGGTCGAACAGTCCAAATGGTGTAAGATGGTGACAACATTGCACACATGACACCCTATGAATGGGTTTGATTTTTTGGGAGAAATTTTCCCTAAAAAAATCCAAAGCTTTGCTTAGATAAGAGATGAGGTCTCCATTCCCATTCATTCCTCCTTCCACCAATCCTCTTGCTCATTCAGTAGTCAAGATAACACTCTTCTCTATCTCCCTTTAATCTAGGTTTTTAATCTTGCTTTTTCTTTCTATTATGTATCAAACNTGTAAGTAAAAAATTATGTGAAAATGTGAAAATAATTTTTCAATAATACGAGGTTAAAAATGAGTGTAAATAAAAGTAATTATAAAAAAATTATTCCACATAAGCATTGATTGTGGGTAAAGCTTGTTTTGAGAGTTAATAACTGGAACCATGGTAAGGATTGATTTTTATTTTTATTTTAATTTTTATTTTTGTGTGTGTGTTTAGACATGAAGTCACAAATCTTTAAAAAAACTAGGAAATTATTTGAAAGAGGGAATTATGCCCTGCATCTTTTTCCTTAATTCCAATTCTATTATTCAATAAATTTTTTAAACTTACCGTGTTGAATTCTCAATTTCTTCACCTATCCCACACCTTCACACAACTATACCACCCATCCTCCTCATACGACCACTTCCACCACCACCAATAGGCACTATCAACTATCATTTTGAACCCTATAACTACCATCACCGTTCACCGCTACTCCACAACCAATGACATCTTCACTAGCAAACATGCACTACCACAACTAATAAACGCTTAGAGGTGGAAACCATGGGCAGACCCAAAGACTTTGGACTGTGGGGTCAAAAATGAATTTTTTTTTGAACAACGTATCATTAATAAAAATAAATTCATATGCTATTACAATTGTAGACTACGCGTTTTCATACTTTGAAAACGTCGTATAATTACATCGTTATCAATATCGTCAAGTACATCGCTATCAATATATGGATAA